TTGTACTATCTAGGATAATTTCCTTAAACATGTTTACCTGACCCAGATACCCTAATTAGGGTTTCTATTTTTAATTGATCATCCAGGATAATTAAATATCTTATTGTATGATATGATAAAAAAAACTCTAACTCACTGAAGTTCTCCCCCTGAGTGTGTGTGTGTGTGCAAGGTTACTTAGCTCCATTATCCATCAAAGTATATTTGACTCAAGAAAAGGTAAAAGATGCATTCAAATAGAAATTATAGGCTAACTCAATCTTAGACTACCTGATCTTGAGCTGATTAACATTTTAAGTGAACTTGTGGACCTGAAAGGTTAGTGAGCTAGGCAAATAAAATCGATATGGAAGAATATATAACAGTAGTTAAGAAATAATCATATTTGTTATCATCAAAATCATAGTACTTGGGTCTAGATTAATAACATTATCATCATATAATATTATTAGTTGATTTAGAGTAAGTTACCCAGTATGATAAGAATATTATATAGTATAATTAGTTTAAAAATTATAGTTTCATTTTATACAATCTTTGAAACGACCAAATTTTGTCTCTGCCAATTGTACAATATGATCATGGTCCTACAGTACGATCAGCTGTCATTAATTAAACCATAATTTGATTAACTGATTATGAGGGTTAAGTAACATTTATTTTTTTTTTGCAATTTAAATCACATCATATAGTACGATTAGCTTAAAATTTAAAATTTATGTGACAGCTAGGGCTTTCAAATCATAATTAATATTATTCATATATTATATAAAATATATATATATATATTATATTATATATATATATATATATATATAGTATGACCTGGTTATTGAGTATTGATTAGTTCAAGAACTAATTATTCAATTAGTTGTTTATCCTATTCTCTTCTATAAATGATCATATAGTATGATTGTAAGTCATACATATGATTGTACAAAAAATTTAACTTTAATTTCTCACTCCCTTTGTGTGTGTGCGCGATCACCCAATTATTAATTCTTATATGGCAGACTCAAAAAATATATATATGAAAAATAAAGTGCACTCTTTTATCTGTATCCTATTTTACCTAGTCTTGAGCTTTTATTAGCCTTGAGACATATATAATTTTACCAGTAATGTTAGCGCTCACATAAAAAGAATATCATAATATTCACTAAAAATAATAATTCAATCAATAATGTTTGTCATCATTAAATCTCAAACTAGGGGTCCCATATTGCAACAGAATGAGAAGTTTCAAACTGGTTTCTAGTTATCTACTTTAATTAGTAATTGTGTATACTGTGGCCATGATTATTTAAGCTAAGCTTGTTTGAGTTTAAGCCAGATTACTCTGCATGTCCATAACCCTTAGTATCATATTCTACGACTTGACTTTCTAATCTTTAATGTGCATCTTTATTTCTCAATTAATTGATCTATTAGATCATAATCAAATCAACTGATTCTTCTTTCACTAAAATGGCATCTACTTGGGGTCGGCATTATTGGTTATGCTGTATCTAACTATGTTTGGATTAATAATAATATATTATTTATATTTTTTGGATTTAATATTTGATTTAATTATCATTTAATTAAATCCTATGTCAATTTTAAGGTTTATTTTGGGTTCCTAATGGGTGTCTGAAAATGGCTATCAATTTCAGTGAAACTTTGGGCATGAGATTCACCATCTCAAGGCCTATGTCATAATTTCGACCAAATATGGATCTTTAGGCTGTTAACCAACTCTAGTTACCTTAGGGTAACTTCAGGGATTGAATGGGGGTTATCTAGACATGGGATTGGGGTGAAATTGAAGGCCATATAATAACCCTTACACTAAGTAAAGTTAATATACAAAGCACAATTCCTAGATCCCATTGGAATGATACTTATATTAGGTTGAATTTAAGGGTCAAACCTTGTCCGTTAAACCAAAATAAATTAAAATATGCACTTAATGAAATCAAATAGAGGGGAGAAAATTTTGGCATGTTAAAGACATGCCCAAAATTGATTTCCCAACATTTTAAGCCATGGTGAGATATCAGTAAGCCATAATTATAAAAATACCCTTAAAGCTATTACTAGAATTAACTAAATTTCATGCATAAACATAGCTTGAAACCATAGGGCTTTGAAAGGTCTCTGTAAGACCTTTCCAATGAGCCTAATATCATATAATTTGGTCAAGTTGATGAGACGATATTAATTTTTGAAGAATCATATGTTTTCTTGATTTAATAAAGCTAGATTTACATAGTCAGCCATCTCTTTTCATGTGGGCACCGTCTGATTGGCCAGCCAATCATTGTGGTTGACTGTGTAAATGTGGGATTGACCATAGTCGTTGTATAATTAATCAGACAATTATGATTAAACTGGCTCCAAAATTGCGGGATATAATCTGAACCATTGATTGAGATTAACAGTTAAGATTATGTCTTCAACCTCCTGCACGTGTCAAAAGTTGTAGACCTCCGATGTGATATGAGAGATATCTCACTACTGAACCTCAACCAAACTTCAAAGGAAGGATCTAAATGATGCAAACCGTTAATCCAACGGTAAAAACTTTGGTGCATACTTGTCATTTGAAGATAATTCTCTGTCATACATAAGAACAAATGATGCTCCTCGCTCAGAAAAAATACGCTTCATCGTTTCACTGGTCAGCTCCTCGCTCAGAAAAAATACGCTACATCGTTTCACTGGTCACATCCTATGATAAACCAACATAACCTTACTCATAACTCAAAAAAATTCACAAAAAATCATCATTTATCATAAATAATATATTAATATTGAATACATTATTACATATTTAATTTTTTAAAAATAAATTAATATAAAAATATTTTAAAATAAAACATAACAATTTTAGACTTAAATATATATCATATTAAAAAATACAAAAAAAAAAATTTACATTCCGACAAAGAAAAAAATATAAATCACAAAATATTTGATCTCCTAAAAATGCATTGCCAAAAAATTTTAACATAAACCTTTTTTGCCATCTTTCCAAATGACTAAACCTAAAACAAAACTTAGGCAAGAAGTAAATATACCATATAAACTTAGAAAAAACTTCGCCTAACTTAGGATAGCACAAAAGATAACAATAATAACCTCCAAAAGTCGAATCTACCTTCCGATTTATACACAGAGCAAAAAACAAAAAAAAAGGTGTGATATAAAAAACTTCCATTCTTGATTGTAGGAAAGTCTAGATTCTTTTGACATTGGTTTTCTTAAAATTAAACTCTTTACATGACATAAAAATAATCAAATTAAAACAACTAGTAATGACATCAAGGAATATTACATAGTTGACATTATTACTAAAAGTAAAATCATTGTTAATAATATGATATATTTAAGGAATTTATTCCATTGCATTAGGAAGTAGTTATTGAAAATCAACCCTCTTGAATGTAGTTTTAGAGTTTCTTGAAGAAAATTTTTATGATTCATTTTTTATCACTTGGAATCACGATCATTCTTATGAAAATCCAATGAATCTTGGAAATGGAACTAACCTACAGTTTGACTCACTTGAGATCCCACTATAGACTTGGTTTTTTGAGTCGATTTCATTTTATTAGGTCTCGTACCGTTAACGAGACAAAATATGAAACTTTCATTTGATAACATTAAATTAGCAGTTCATATGGAAATTAAGAGAATTTAAGTTTATGCTAATTCTCAATTGATTTTCAACTAAGTGGTTAGTATGTAAAATTTTTTAAAAAATATTACTTATGATCTTAATCTTAGTGAGATATTCTATTACTTGAGAGCACTAATATTGTTACTTAATTAGAGTACCTGTGTTGTAATAGTAAAGTTGATGTTGTGGCCAAATTATTCAAAGTACTTTTAAATTTGGATGAAAATCTAATCCATTACTTAATTCAAAATAGAAATATCCTAGCTCTAGACAATATTGTTATTTCTAAACCATCTAATTCTGAAGATCATTAATGTCAGATCCAAAGTAAAGATGGTGATTAGTAATAAGCCATCATTAAATATTTCGGTCAAGGAAAACTTTTAATTGACCAATTTTCTTATTCCTAAATTCAAATGAAAGGGCTGTGTTATACTTTCATCAATGATGTTCTCTACAACTGCTCATTCAATTAGATATGGCTTCATTGTCTAGGTAAAAATAAGGCACATAAGGTCATGAGCAAAATTCATGAGAGCTAATGCAAGGCTTTCCAAACAGTGCCCAAGATGAAGTTGGAAATTAAGAGGGTTGATCATTACTAATCTTCTATGCTTGTGGATTATATGGATTTTGCAAAAAATATCGTTAATGCCAAGTCCATGGTTTTATCCCACATATATATGTATCCAAATTTCCTACACATAATAATGACATCTTGGAAGTTTGAATTTCGGGAAATGGATGTAGTAGTTTTAATAGATCCTCTTACTTTGCAGAGGCATTGGGTCATATTATCTGCAATAGATTTTTTTTCAAAATATATATGTTGAATTAATCCTATTAAAATAAGTCAAAACAGATAAGATGTTCTAGTTTTTTAGGGACCATGATGTTTATCTATTTGGTGTATCTTGTCATATCATTTTTAACAATGGTATTGTATAACTAAGGATGTTCAACGATTTATTGTGGCATATTTAATGGCTTAGATAATATATTTTTAAATATAATAAAGAAGAATTTTTCTACAAACAAGAAAAAATTACATGATAAATTTCAGAAGCTCTATGGGCATACAAAATTATATATTGAACACTTACAAAATCTAGACTTTTGGATCAAAAAATGTCATTCCTTTAGAAGAAGAATTGACTTTTTTGTGTAGCTGTTAGTACTATTTTCCAATAATATTCAAAACACCTATCTATATCTTCAAAAGCTTCATCAAAAGCTTCATAACCTCGATGAATTAATGGGCAAGATTTGCGCTGACCCGTCAAAAATTAATTAATTCTTCTTTTGTTTTTCTGTTCTTTCCAATGAAATTAATATATTTCATCAAAACGATTAATCCATTAATATATAAACTATATATACATCCGATAACCCAAGCTACAACACAAAATCCTCGCTCAGACAACACCAAAAAAACAAAAAAAGAAAACAAATAAAAAGAAAAAAGTTCCAGCTAATAAGCCTCACTTCTCCAAGTTGTCGACGTGAAGAAAACAGGGAATCAGTAACAGTGCAGTACAGATTGCTGAAGATTTCCTCGAAGTGGAGTGCGAGGTGCAGTGGCCGCCCGCTTGCCGTCGGCGTCATAATATATAACTCCAGAGAATTCCAATGGCTGACACTTCTCTCCCATCATTATAGTTCTCCTCCATACTTCTTCCTCCTCATCCTCTCGCATCTTCATCATCTTCTTCGCAGTAGTTTCTTTCTTCTTTTCTCTTATCATTTTCTTGTTATGGAGGAAGGAAAGCATGCCTCCTGTGTCGCCGAAGGCAAGGAGTCGGGCTCTGGAGGCCCGGTCGCAGCCCAATTTATCTGCTGCTCTTTCGAACAATTCAACCACCTTCCCTACGAGGCTCTTCAACGCCATGCCAGAAGAAATGAGAAGAAGCAGAAGATGGGATTGGTTTCGGAATTTTGAAGACTTAAGAGCTGAATGTTGCGTTTTTATTGTGAAGAGAAGGGGGGAAAGTTCAGCGCAACTATGAACGGTAGAGATGCGAAAAGAGCTCGAGTGGCTGAGGATCCATTTATTTTATTATATATATATATATATTAAAGATATGGAAATTTTTCCTAGTGATTATGATTCATCGACCTAATCCACCGGGAATAGTTATTATTAAGTATTAATCTCGACCTCCTAATCTAGCCAAAAATTTATATAGAAAGATGCGAGCTTAGAGATTATTACGTGCGGAGTGCGGATTGTTTGCGGTGTGCGGACGGGAGAACCGTCCGCACAAGTAATGACGGCACCCAGCTGTACCGAGTACGGGTACCGAGCTGGGTACCCACCAATGAGGTGACGTGGCGCATTATTATTGGCCTCCGGACGCACTCCGCATTCTGCACCTAATAATTTCTCTGCTTTGAGTGCGCTTTTGAACCCTTTTTCTTTTAACTCAACCGGATGCATTGCAGTGACAGAATATATTGAAAAAATATATTGCAGGCGAATGACATTAAATTATCAGTAGAAATTCTTTGTGTTATTCTCGTAATTTAATAACGACAAAAAATTACAAATTTACCTCTTACAAACTCCCAGGTAGCTAGCTTGTCTCCTGAGCGGAAGATTTTGTCAAAACAACTATTCTTTTGATATTATCCTCCCTCTTTTATTAGAATCCTCGTACGTCCCGACTCCGTTGCTTACATTCGCTTACTGATTCAAGGTTTGCTGATATATTATTTAATTTAATTTCAATGAAACGTTTTGATTCCTTTATTATTGCATATTTCGTTTTTCTATAACATATTAAAAATATATATATGATAAACAGTTGAACTTTCCCTAAATTGTTGACCGTAAACATATGTTTTATGAGAGCTGTCATTGACAGACGACATACAGACGACGACGATAATAACATCAAGCCTTTGTCCCACTACCTAGGGTCAGCTACAAAAATCCTTTTAGCCATTGTGTCCTTTTAAAAAGTCAAATTCTCATTTAAATCTAATAAAGATAGATCATTTCTAATATTTTCTAACCAAGTCTTTTTATGCCTACAACTTTCTGGTCACACTTCAAGGACTGAGAAATATTTTTTAATTATTCTAAATTTTCAAGAAGAAATTTAGGATCCAATGTTTCATCACTCGTTCATTTTAAAAAGCTTTACAAATTTTCCAAATTTTTTGAGCCTTGAGACAAAGTATAACATTTGATCTAATTTGTATACCTGCAAATATCTAAACATGTATTTAACAGGAAGTTCAAAGGTTATAGATAGGAAATCACACTCAGTGGGGGCAGGCTCACAAATGGAAATCGTCAAACAAGAGGTACTACTCGTCTGCAACTTGCAAGAGGACTCACCTAGAGTGTTCATTAGGTGCTATTAACTTCAACATTCAAAGAAGCTCGCACTCTATGGGGCAAATTGGAGATTCCTCGATAAGCTAGTAACATATCACATATTTGAACCACCACTTCAATCACTGACCCCTCCTTGGCAGGACTTCAGACACTCACTCTCTCCCAAAGTGACAATCCTCTCCAAACTCAGACATAGCAAACCATGACCATCAGAGACAGTTCTTCATCTCCAACATCAACTCACTCAATTCTCTCACATTGGGAAACTTGAAATGCCTCATATGAGTCAGAAATAAAGTCAACAAGCACATCTGCGGTTTGACCCATACATAGTACATACCCATAGAGCTCACCCTATACACATTTAGTATTATTGAGCTCTCTCGAACAAAAATCATCAAAGCTCTGCAAACCCAGCTCTCCTTCATAAAACTAGAAGGGGAAAAGTGTTTTGGGTAAAGTGTAACATTATATGGGTAATTTTTGTAAGATCATATTTGTTTACTTTTTCTATGTATCATCTTTCTTTTAGCCCTGATAATGCTATTAATATAGGGGAACAATTTGGGAGTTAGTTTTTATATATTTCCGAATGATAGTGGATACTGTGGTAATTTGAGACCTATAGTTTTTTTAACATTTTGAAATAGTTTTCTCTATTCTTCTCGTTCTCTATTCTCATAGGTTTTAGCTCAGCAGGTCAGCTTGCTAATAAAATCATGTGACGTCTATAGACAAATTTGGATCCAACATCCTCTCAAGTGTAGTGAGCTTGGATTGATGCCTTTGATAAGAAGACAAGCCAAAATAAATGAGTGAGTTAAATAGGAGACATTCGTGAATATGGAGAATGCTGACTACACCATTAATGGAGACTTGCATTAAATGGAGAAAAGGATTATGAAGATGGCACAAGATGCCCTAGGTAGCTTCCAATGGCAAGTAAGAGGTGACAACACCCTTGAAGGTTATTCACTCAGCAGTTCACTGTAGGTGGTAGATAATAGAGCTAACCTCAACACTGATTTTGAATTACACTCAGACATTGGTGAGTGATGATGAGTACAATTCCCCAACTATGTGAGTTACAAGGGAAGAGGTTCAACTTGACAATGCCTTCTCTAGGGAAATTTATAAGGCTAGGCCATCTCCCAAGTTCAAATTAACAAACTTAGAATTTTATTAGGATAAGACTGATATAACCAACCATTTAGCTACCTTTAAGTTGATGACAACTTCTCTTTTGGACATTTATGATCGGACATTGATGACACCATAAAGTGTTATCTTCTCTTCACAAAACTTATGAATTAAGAGCTTTGTTGGGTGGTTAATTCATTTGCTTATATGAGCAATCACTTCTTTGTGAATTCAGAAGAGAAGCCTCAAAAGAGCTTGCAAGCTCTGTTAAACGTCAAATAAGAACAAGAGAAGCCACTTATAAGTTTCATAGTGAGGATCTAAAGGGAAATGCTGCATATCAAGGATCTAGGGCGTGTAGTCACCCATGAAAGTTCAATAGAGGGTGTTAAGCCTAACTGAACTATCTTTAGGCACATGAAGAGAGGCATTGGGTGGTGGGGGGTATGAGCGGTGAATTGGTTATTTAAAAATTTTTAAACAGAAAATAAACTTTTTAAAATGTTTAATAACTTGAATTAAAAAATGTAATCACCCGATGAGAAAGCTAATAAAAATACTAACATTAACAATGATAATGATAACTTGATTAAATCAATCTAACATCAATAACAACATTTTAAACATTCATTTATTAAGAGAATTAATTACAGAAAAGTAAAGTGTGGAAAATAAAATATAGAAATGAAATAAGAATGAGTATACCAAAATTTTACAGTGGTTTGGTCAAACAATGATCTATGTCCACTCCATATAGTCATCCTCTTTAAGTATTACACTAAAACTTTAGTGACTCTCCTTTAGTCCCTACAGCTAGGTGGAGAAGCACTTACAAAATCTCTTCCACCAACTTAGTTTGGTAGAGGACCATAATCTTTCACCCTTCTAGTGAGGCAGAGAACATGGAATCCTTTTTCAACCTTCTGGAGATGGTAGAGAATCTAAAATCTTTTTCAACCTCCTAATGAAGGTAGAGAACTTAGAATCCCTTTTCACCCTCTTGATAAAGGCAGAGAACCTCGAATCACTTTCACATTCCCTGGTGCAGCAATTTAGCCGGGTCTTTTAACAATAAGGAGGTCTTCTTACCAATGCTTCCCTAATGACAAATCTTGATGTATGGAGGAACACATGTGCAAGTTTTCTGGAGCAACCATGTGGGACTTCCTCTCACTCACTTGAAACTCATAAGGATCTTCTCCTTCTCTCACAAACTCCACCCTTTCTCTCCCAAGATCTAGGCACTCTCTTTAAGCTTTCTTTATAAAAAAAAAACTCAAAGAATGCCAAAAAGATACTTACAAAATTTATTAAGAAAGATTAAGTAAAAGGCTCCAAAATCCTAAAAATTCAATTCAACCATCATGGTTTGCAGTAAGATCACAGGTCATACAATATAATACCCAAAATTTGACTTGATAGTACTGTATGATCACCCGTTAGTACAGTAAAATCTATTCAAATTTCATTATTCATATTGTACATTGTATAGTTAGTACACAATCAGTTCAATTTTGATGTTAGTATCATACAATTTATAGTTAGTATAATATGATTTGTTCAAATTATACTGTTGGAATGAACAGTAGTATAATTTGATTAGTTTAACAGAATTGCAGTTCATCCAAGATGAATCTTGGGATGACCAAATATCATATATGTCGATCGTACATTATGATTAAAAAATAAAATTAAGCAGATTCTATTGATTAATCATAGGATTAAATTAGGTAATATTTTAAATATTATAAAATATGATTAGGTTTATATAATACTAATAGGATAAAATTTAAAATTTAATTTTTTTCCTAATTTATTGAACGGTGAGGTTTCTAATTACAACAAATCGTCTAGTATGATTTGGTGTTTGTATTATGCGATTCATTATATTTTAAAATTATTTTCTTAGATAAATATACACTTTAATTAATTTATATAGGAATAGATTGTATATTAAAATCTAAATTGTACATTATGATTTATTAAAAATTAAAATATTTTTAATTATTTCTTCTCCCCCGGTGTATAAGTGCAAGGTTATCAGGCTAGCATAAATCCTTATAGGACTTAAAGGACTTAACTCAAGAAATTAAAGAAATAAAAAATTATTTACTCTTTCAATGCATTCCATTCTACCTAATCTTGAGTCCTAAATCTTCATTGAATGTTGCATAATGTACTTGAAATATTGACACACATACAAATAAATATGCACTACAAATAGTATGAGAAATAAAGAGGCTATCAATGATGTTTATTACCATCAAAATAACAAACTCTGGAGCCCGAGTTGCAAAAAATCATACCACATTGAATAAAAGATTAGGAGAGGGTCTATTCTGGTATGCACTTAACTTGCAATAGATAATATACTTCTAGAACTATTAAAGCTAGCTAATATCCATGTGAATGCTGTAGAGTAGTATATAGTGGTCAAGTCCTCCTTAGCCAGTTACTATTATGGCTTCACCACTAAAAGAGAATACCAATGATGATATGGAAATGAAACAACTCATA